ATAATTGTAAGAGAGTTATCAAAATAATTATTAAGCTTAATATTTGTAACAGATTTTTACTATCAAAATGTGAAACTATGAATAAAAAGAAAACCAATTAATAATTATTGAAGAAAGACACAAAGTGATTATTTAATATATAATCTGAACTTTTTATTTGTTTCTTTCCCTTATTTAATATTTGTTCAAATTGAATATTTTTAATAGTGAAAAAATTAGAAACTCAAATAGATTTGGATTTGGATTATTTATTTTTTATCTACTGATTTGAAGTTTTAACTGAAGTATATAAGCTTAAAAAGTTATGATTTAGAGAATTATCCAATGATCTGTTCTGTAATAAAGATATATAGTTATTTTTTAATTGATTATTTAGAGATACAGATACTATTTTGAAAGAAATTGTACTTTGTACCTTAGATAAATAAGAATCTATCATTTGCTGTTTATATTTCCAATTTTCAATATATTCTTTGGCTTAAGAACCAGATATGTAATATTTTTTTATTGGATTTATAGAATCAGACATCTTACCAAATGATGTTTTAATGTTTTTGATGGTTTCATTTAATAAATATCTTGCATTTGTATTGTAGTATATTTTATAAAGATGATATATACTGGAGTACATATAAATATATGACTTGATGCTATCTTTACTATAATAAAATTTCCAAAAAATTATTCATATTTATATAAATATTTCCATATATTTCAAAATGTTTACAAATATTTCAAATTATTTGATATCAGTAAATTTCTATACATTATATAATACTTTTGTTAGAGATAACATAAGTTAAATTAAATTGTACAATTATTATTTTTTGTTACATATATAGTAACTGAGTCAAAATATATAGACAATGCACAAAATATAAAGGATATAAAACTTTTGATTTCTGATTCATATTCATATTGTATTGTGAAAGTTATATCTAGGTTAAATTCTTGTAATAAAAATTTACAAAACTGATATATAAAACAAGAGCAAAATTTTGATTGAGAAAGAAAGGGATGGGACTAGGAGAGAAATAAGTGGGTCATAAACTAGGAGATGCTAATACTGAAATTCAGAAATTACATAGTTATGATCCCAAACTTATTGATGAAGCTAGGCATTTACAGATTGAAATACTAAAATAGATATTTTTCTTGTGAAGTCCAAAGCTAAGAATGATATAAAGTCCAAGAAAATTAGATCACTTGAGTCTATGATTAAGATATTGGAAGATAGGTTGTTTGCAGCTCAGAAAGATCTGATTTTGATTCAAAATGACTTGTCAAAAAAAGATGCACATAGTACAAATCCAAGATATTATCTCATAAGTTTAAAATAGTTGAAGTATGTAGAACATGAGTTAGCTTTGAAAGTCAGTGAACTTGAGTGTCTGAAATTGAAGGCTATATTAAACCTATCATTGGTAGAGACAACAAAAAAAATATGATCAAGTCTAGTAATATATCCATGGATAATGATTTTAGTAAATATTTTATATATAGAAAAAATATGGATCCAATAGAAAAAATCGATGGTGATGTTGAGACATATACCAGGCCTTTAGGCACTTCAAAAAGACATGATGAGATTATCGAACTATCAAAAAATAATGCCAAGATCAACTTTAAGGGAAGTGATGAAATCAATATTAGCAAAACTAGTAATATACTTCAAGAAATACCGAATATAACTCCTTACTTTGCATAGCCAGAAAATTATACTTCTTCTTTGATTGAATCAAATTCTCAGATGGGATCAGGTCCCGAGACTTTGCCTCTTTCGATAGGAGGAATAGGAGCGATGAAGCCTAATATTGAGGCTTTTCCTCTTCCTGCTGTGGCAAGCACTTTGATGTCACCGCTATCAGCATATATTTTTCTTATTCTATTAATTATTGCGGTTATTATTATATTGAGACACACATGGGGATTGGAGAGGAAAAGTGAGCGATTGCGGGATGCATGGACTAGATATTAGGAACTATCTATTAGAGATTTTATTAAATAGAACGTTTTGTTTGGTTGTTATATTAATAGATAATCAGAAAAATAACTATGAATACTAACGCTATTTCTCCTGCAACACGCGCTTTATTAGTACCTGAAATTTTGGAAAATATTTTTAGTCATCTTTCTAAATATAAGGATCTATTTAATATTATTACAGTTAATCATATCTGGCGCTCTGAAGGGTTTCGAGCTAACTGTAATTTATATGCATTTCGTCTTAATAATTGGGTTTCTCATTTTAATAATACTCTATCAGCATGGTATAAAGGAAAGATTTTAAAAGCTTGTCTTAATGATGTTATTTCCTGTGTTTATAAAGATTTTGTTTCATTAACAATGATATATAATAAATACTTTGCTCGAGATAGAAACATGATATTTTTCTTTTCACGAAAAATGTTAGAGGATTTTATAAATGAGTATATGTATTTTCAAGGAGATATCGAAAATGAAATGAGAGATATATCTAATTACAATTATTATTATGATATACATGTATATGATACTGTAACTAGAAACTGAACATATAAATCTCGAAAATCTAGTTAATGGGTTGTTGGTAAACATAAAAAGTATCAGTTTTAGTCTTTAGTAAACGTAGATTTCCTCGAAATCTATTATCTCCTTTTTAATCGATAGATAATAACAGCTATCCAATCGTTAATAACTTTTAAATCGTATATTCTATTTAATAAATACGTTCTAAACAGTTAATAAATATGTCTTGAACAATCCAGATTAATAATTAGGGGCAAATTTGAAAAAATCAAACAACTTTGTATTGTGTTGCATTGGTTTATTTTATACAAGAATCGCACAAGATTTGCTCATATTTATGATTAATAAATAGATATTGTCTCAAGTAACAATATTAATAAATTTAACGTCATTCACAAATCGATAAAATATAGTTCCCATGGGATGTCGTCCGGTTGATTTCCCATGGGAACACATGACATAAATACTAGTTAACGCAATCTCAACATACGTTTGTATCGTATCTATGATTAACATTAGTTAACTATATACAGTATCTTCACAACGTTAGTAATATATGATTAATATCCGAATAGATTAATACTGAAAAGTCTGTACAATCAACTTTACGTTTCATCAACGTCGACAATAATACCATATCATATACACCAAATTAATTCGTTAATATTAAATCAACATCGATGATATTACCCCATAATTCTAATTGAGAATTATGAAAATTGAAATAACATACGTATATCAGTATATGATTATTTGAATTAAATATACTCAGTTCTTTTTGTAATATTTATTAAATTAACATCTTATAATTCATATCGAATAAAGTATTTCTGTCAAGAAACACTACACATGATCTTATTTAATTAGGCCGAGAGGATTGTGTAGCAAAGCGAAGCGACGCGAGCACAACGCAACGTAGCTAGTATGTAATTCATGAATATCTCTACCCGCAACATAATAAACATTGTAATGTTATGAATAACCACGAATAGCAATAATCTAAATAATTCACCCTTTCCATTTAATTGTTCTTTCACTTTCATTTCTAGTTATATAATAAAACAAACGAAAAAAAAAAAAAAAACAAATTTCGTTTTACTAAAAAACCGAAAAAGAATTACAAAACAGCGTTTGTTTTATTAAATTATGAAGAAAACAACAAATTTTGTTTACTAACAAGCAGAAAACAAACCGGATTTCGTTTACAACGAAACAAAAAAAACCGACCAAACGACATTTCGTTTTATAACAAAATAAAAAGAAATAACCAAGGCATGTTATGTCGTACAATGAGGACCACCAGAGCACCTAATAACTCCAGCATCGGTTCCAGATTGATCTAAAGGGAAACCACATTTCCAGGCAGCTGTAATATTGGCATGTATACAACCCCCCCACCACCACCACGCAAGGCATGCCGTATCAGCAATACATGCGTTACAACACTCTTGGGGGGTACCCGCAGGGTGATCAAAATACTGTTCGTTCGCAATAGCCTCGTTGGACCATCCTGGAGCACCGGGAGCTGAACAACATGGTTTCTCGCATTCAGTTTTTGTGAGCGTACAAGTCTCAATTACTACGCAATGTTTGCCGTCTTGATGACCATTACCATCACCGCAATTTTGATGAGGGTCTCGACAATCGGGACAAGTGAGAACGGGAGTGGGAGTAGCGATGCAAGAGGTTGTGATCGTTGTTGTGGTCGTTGTTGTCGTAGTTGAACACTTTCCAGCGTCAGCAACGATAATTGATGCCAGCAATAATAATAGACAGAAAAAAATGGTCGAAGAAAATTTAAGAGATTGTCCCTTCATTACGAGTCAGGTTGTAACCGGATTAAAAAATACGATTGTATTTTGTCGAAACGTAAACGATAGCATATTTATGGGATTTTCCTCGTATTTTTAATGCAAGTATATTTCCGGCAGGGGTGAAGTTATACTGCGTGTATGTTTACAGGATGCAGTAAAATTTTCACAAATGCGACGCCTTGACATTGAGTGTTATGTTAGAACGGGAGTTATTGTTGATGTTTATTATTGATTAGTATCTGGGTTATTAATATGCCTATTAGAAAAAAAAACGAGTCACCATTTTCGTTTGGAAGAATAATAGCAATACGGCATGAGTCATCAATTAATTCGCTGTGTGATTTATTATGTTGGTATTATTTAATAAGTCAGGAGAGATACACGGATGGATGAGTCAAATCTCTAATGTAATTTTATTTGGTTACGTACATCGAAGAAGACATATAAGGGTAGTCGAAATTTTTATTGTTCTGGTTGTGTAGTACAATTGTTATCATGATAGTAATTGATTGTTTGGTTATTTAACGAACATAGTCATTCTTATTTATTTTTTTAGGGAATCGCTATTGTAACGGTGTAACGGCGAGTCAGTCGCTAACTCTAGCAGAGATTCGCGTAACCGTTAGCAGGTAAGTAAATTAAAGGGTGATTTTAGGCGTGTTTGTATTTGACCGAGTCTTTATTAATTTTCTTACTAATTCTCTATCTCGATTCCTTACATTTTACATTTCTTTTATACTTCTCTTTTACATTATTATTTATACTCCTCTTTCTTTACATTTGGCTATGGCGGCTTGGGCATGACATAATAAGTGCTAATACAACGACATGGCTAAAGCCAGATGACATAATCCTTTTTCACAATTCTCCCTGTCCTTCCTTTATTACCTAATTATCTCAGACGTCTTACCATTGTCACGTCGATCGGTCATGTGACTAACGTCGCGTCCCATTTCTCCCTGTTACACTATGTAGATCAAAAAAGATACTAATGGAAATATTATACAATGAGAAATGTGTCATACTATCTTTATTTATGTTAGGAAATTGATATATCCAGATTTTTAGTTTTGATTGCGCATCATGATAATGTGCGTGGGTTGGGAGATAATAATATAATATGATAGGAAACGAATGAGGAAATGGGGGAATTTTAAAGATTGAATATTTGATTTATTCCGTGGATAAAACTAAATAGTTAGGGAAATTGTAAACAAAATCGGTTTTTATAGTACTTTAAGGGTTGGTTTATTTAACAGTAATGAAACGTAAATTAATAAACTATAATGAGTAATGTAATCGTGAGTAATGTTGGTTAAAAGATGAGTGGATGGGTTGTCGCATTGTTTTCTAGACGTTCATATTCGCGTATGACGGATTGATCAATAGCATACACTTATTTATCCAAGGAAAGAATTTCTACGACGTCCCACGAGGATGCACGGCTTAGTGTAGTGTAAGCTTGGCTAGCAGCGAAAAATTGTTTATCCAGAGATATGTGTGACATGTTAGCCATTGAGATTTATGTACTGTGAGAGCGAAACAATTTTGTAAAGAAAATGGTTTGCGGGAGGTGTTTATGCCATTAAAAGAAAAATAAGATGTTTTGGGAGAGACTATGGCATGTATTGGCGATCTATTACCAAGAAAGGAGAGCGAAGTGTTCGTCTGTTTTTAGAATATCCCATCTGACCAACGAGCGATCGATATTCTACAAGCGGATTTGCACCAGCAGAACGACCTAAACTGGTATGTAAGTATATAGGAGAGAGATATTTTCTTTTTGAATATGATACATCGAGGTATTGGGGCAAGTGGAAGACATGCTTGATTATTAAAATCCATCGCAAATTGCAATTTTGGTTAAATTGTGTGGATTAGTAGTCAAATTTATTCGAAGATATGTTTGTACAGGATAAGTAACGTCATTATTTTTGACAATCCATTTTGCAGGCAGACGCAGATATAATAAGCGTGAGCAATAAGAACAGGAAACGCATGAAAATCGAGCGTAATCTTAGTCATAAAGTAAGCGTAAAACTTTTCGTAGTTCATCAGAAGGATGCTAGTATGTGGTGTTTGAAGGATAATAAGTTTGGCAAGGTGGGATTTCAGATGGTTTAATGGAGGATAAAGAGGACGGGAATCAATGGCCATTAACTGTCCAAGCCATTTCGTTCGCTTGAAGAGAATCGACAGTAAATATACTGAGTATTTGAGACATTGGATTATAAATATGTTGCAAAAGAATTATTATTATTTTTTCTATAATCAAATAATTGGTAAGAATAATGAATCGGGTTCGAAAAGAAAAAATTTTTGATAGTTGATGTGTTGTTATACTTTTATATTTTTTGATACGTTGTCATACCTTTTATTATAAGAGGTTATATTTCCCATTTTAAGCATGGGGAATGATTTATATTATATGGTTGCAGATATCAAATATGAGTCATCCTTTCATTTTCACACGATTGGTTTTAAATGAGGATTGTGGGACAAGAGTGTGAAAATTGATAATGATTAAAAATTACTGATCATGACAAGAACACAAATACGATGGCGAAGTAAGATCGGTACAATAAGTGAAAAGTAATAATACACCCCCTCCCCTCAAGAGGGTGGTGGAAGGGTATAGTCTAGTATCAAGTATAAAGGTATAATTTTGCCAGAAATATCTACACGAAAAATTATGACAAATGGGAATTTGTTGGTTAATGTAGAAAATATTTTAGAAAATGATGCAGTTATGCTTATGCATTAATATTTTTACTGTAATATGTATGTCATCGACATTTCATTATTATGATCAGGAACTTTTAACGGAAGTATTGAAATAATTACCCCAATACCGGAAAAGATGTATAAACGTATGCAATTACTACACGCTCAAATGATGAATGGACTTCAACACCCAGCAGGCCTTAATCCAAAATCTTTCAGGTATTTTTGAAATCATTCTTGAATTCCCTCTTCATATTTCAACCTAAATCTTCATGAAAATACAATAGGCTTTTACAATTGAAGCAACGATTAGCCACTAACTCAGCCAAAGGAATATTGGATGAAGATTTACTGATCCAATTCCCGAACCTGGCTTTGAATCGCCAGCGAGAAATGACCAAACAAATTGGAACAACTATAGACAGAATCATTGATAATTCAAGAATCTTATAATTATTTCTAAATCTGCCAGCTGTACGTATGCTTTAAACATATATTTTAAAATAGGTTTGACTAATAATCATTTACCCCGTTGAAAGCATTTTTGTTTTCGATTTAACAGAGGCTACTTTAAATGTAACAAAATGGTTCCATTTGATGAAACGATTCATGGTTATATTATTACAGAATTTTTTCATTTAACTTAAATGGTATTTTTATTGTCTCAATAATTTGAAATCATGAAATTTCTTCAAAACTTAAGGTTGATTTCAATTTATAAATTTACAATAAAAAAAATAGTTTTCGTTCGATTTTATAAAGCGAACTAGTAAACCCCATTTCGTATCGAAAATTTCATTTTTTATACTCATTCACAATATTCAATAATGAAATTAAGGATCTATTATCAAAATTATATTATTGTAGTTAAGAAATAATTTTATAAAGCAACATAAAAATCAATAAATATTCCTAATCAAACTGCACGTCATTATGTTTATTAATCTTTTTTTTTTTAAAAAAAAATACAATATAAAAATTTCAAAAATTCCGGCTTCAATTAATGTAATTTTAATAAAAGTAACAATATTATTTTTATCACATATTTTAAGGTTTACTTTTTATCGTCGTAACTGGCGAGTATGTTATTAACACAGGGATTATTCTTCACGTTACATACGATCAAGGTAAGAGTTATAAAACTCTTTAGCTCTTGAGGTGTTTTGATCTTGATAACTCACTCTTGCCTGCCTTCTAAAAACTCTGAAACACGGTAAGAGTTTGTTTAGGGTTAAATGTTATTAAACTTTATTGAAGACAACAATATCTCTTGTCTAATTATTCTCAATACTCTATTTACACTAGTTTCCCTTTTTTGTTTTACATTAATTATATAAATTTACTAGATTTTCCACCTCTTTCTCATTCCCGGCCTCGTGACAACGCAATACAATGTCACATCACATATCTTGTCTATATACAGTATGAATATAAAGTATACTAAGTTAATAATATCTTCACTTTATATAACAGGTAATATTAAAATTGTCTATTTTATCAAGTATTTTCCCTTTAAACATTTGTATTAATGTTTTATTATTCACTATTTACTGTAATTGCGCATCTTACATAAAACAGAAACTCGTTTCATAGCATTATTTCTAGTATCAATCCTTCTAAAAAGTATGCCTCTATTACATTCCTATAAATTATTAATAATTTATAGTCAGACTGATATTCTTGCATAGTACCTCGGCTAGGGCTTTTTCTCCCAATTTTCATTAATTATTATTCTGTAAATTTAAATTAGTCAGGGTGGTACTCTTGCATAGTGCCTCGGATAGTGCTTTTCCTACCGATTCTCCTAATTTATTATGTTTCAAGTCTAAGTTTGTCAGGGTAGTATTCTTGCATAGTGCTTCGGCTAGTGCTTTTCCTCCTGATTCTCCTAAATCATTATCCTCTAAATTTAAAACAGTCAGGGTGGTATTCTTGCATAGTGCCTCAGCTAGTGCTTTTCCTCCCGATTCTCCTAAATCATTACTCTGTAAATTTAAATTGGTCAGGGTGGTATTCTTATATAGTGCTTCGGCTAGTACTTTTCCTCCCGATTCTCCTAGATAATTATCCCCTAAATTTAAATTAGTCAGGGTGGTATTCTTGCATAGTGCCTCGGCTAATGCCTTTCCTACTGATTCTCCTAATTTATTATATTTCAAGTCTAAGTTTGTCAGGGTGGTATTCTTGGATAGTGCTTCGGCTAGTGCTTTTCCTCTCGATTCTCCTATTCTATTATTCTCTAAATTTAAATTGGTCAGGGTGGTATTCTTGCATAGTTCCTCGGCTAGTGCTTTCCCTCCCGATTCTCCTAAATTATTATTACCAATATCTAAATTGGTCAGGGTGGTATTCTTGCATAGTGCTTCGGCTAGTGCTTTTCCTACCGATTCTCCTAAATTATTATACTCTAAATTTAAATTGGTCAGGGTGGTATTCTTGCATAGTGCCTCGGCTAGTGCTTTTCCACCCAATTCTCCTATTCTATTAGACGTCAAGTACAAGTTTGTCAGGGTGGTATTCTTGCATAGTGCCTCGGCTAGTATTTTTCCTCCCGATTCTCCTAAATTATTATTACCAATATCTAAATTGGTCAGGGTGGTATTCTTGCATAGTGCTACGGCTAGTGCTTTTCCTCCCGATTCTCCTAAATTATTATCTTCTAAATTTAAATTGGTCAGGGTGATATTCTTGCATAGTGCCTCGGCTAGTGCCTTTCCTCCCGATTCTCCGATTCTATTAGATTTCAAGTACAAGTTAGTCAGGGTTGTATTCTTGCATAGTGCCTCGGCTAGTGCTTGTCCTCCCGATTCTCCTAAATTATTCCTACTAATATCTAAATTGGTCAGGGTGATATTCTTGCATAGTGCCTCGGCTAGTGCTTTTCCTCCCGATTCTCCTAAATTATTATTACCAATATCTAAATTGGTCAGGGTGGTATTCTTGCATAGTGCCTCGGCTAGTGCTTTTCCTCCTGATTCTCCTAAACTATTACCATATAAATCTAAATTGGTCAGGGTGATATTCTTGCATAGTGCCTCGGCTAGTGCTTTTCCGCCAGATTCTCCTAACTTATTATCCTCTAAATTTAAAATAGTCAGGGTGGTATTCTTGAATCGTGCCTCGGCTAGTGCTTTTCCTCCTGATTCGCCTAATTCATTACAACTAATATCTAAATTGGTCAGGGTGGTATTCTTGCATAGTGCCTCGGCTAATGCTTTTCCTTCCGATCCTCCTAAACAATTATATTTCAAGTCCAAGTTTGTCAGGGTGGTATTCTTGCATAGTGCCTCGGCTAATACTTTTCCTCCCGACTTGCATAATTCATTATAACTAATATCTAAATTGGTCAGGGTTGTATTCTTGCATAGTGCCTCGGCTAATGCTTTTCCTCCAGATTCTCCCAAACTGTTTTTACTGATATTCAAATTAGTTAGGGCAGTGTTATTGCATAGAGCATATATTAATGCTTTTCCTGCTACATAACCTAATTTACTTCTTTTCACATTCAACCCCGTCAGGGTGGTATTCCGGCATAAAGTTAAGGCCAATCCTTTGAAGGCATTATCATGTAGACCTTCAATGCTCATATTTAATTCGGATATATTTACATTATAAAAATCTCCGCACAGATAATTTGTTGGCGCTTCTGTATCACGGATTAGCTCAATATTACTTGAATTTGGTAAATATGATGTCTGTTTATTAGCTAATGTAAATATTTTTAAGCGTACTATTAGTTTAAATTAATTAGATAATGAACTAACATTGATGTAAAAAAAATACTTTACCTTGACGTACGATAGTTTCGTTACAATTAGTCAATTTTCTCCGTTTTATTTGGCCTATGATAGATAATATATACAGTATATATTTAATACCAAAAATTTATTTAACAAAAATTTAGAACTTACCAGTTTTTTCGTTTAGCAAAAAATCTCTAGAGTGCTTTAAAGAGGTTAACGAATTTTTACTATAGTATAAACTATCAGTGCTTCTGACAAACTCAGTACTAAACAATGAATTAGATTAGATAATTTATATTATTTTGATGGTAATGTAAAATTTTTACTTACGAATCTTTCATAATATCGAGAGAACATTTAGAATAAGATCCTATAAAAGAAAAAGAGATATATTAAGTTAGATTGGGAGTTGATTTTTTTTCTTTATAAAAAATTCATGATTACCTAATAACGATTCTCCACTTAAACTATATCTTATAGTATTTATAATGTGATCCAATGATTGACTAAAAGGTATATAGGAAGTAGTCGTTATTTTGAGCTCATTTGCAAACTTCCTGGGTTTTATTTCTTGTAATTTTTTTTCTGCATCATAAAATACACCCCCAAATTCCCATTCCGGTGAATTTATTACTTTGTATATTTCGTTAATTGATGGTCTCTGTAAGTGATCTGGGTGCCAGCACTTTTCCATTAACCTAGCCCATAATTCCGGCGTATCTTCAGTAATTTTAGGACGCAATCCGCAACATATATCGAGAACAAGATCAACATTATGCTCTCGATCATAAAAGGGACACTTTCCTGTTGTGAGTTCCCACATAATCATACCTAAACTATAGATATCGGAACTAAAGGAATATGGTTTTCTGTCAAATATCTCAGGTGCGACATATGATATGATTCCATATGCACCTGTTCCTGGATCTTTGTCCGCAGGTCGACTAAGTCCCAAATCAGCAATTAACGAACAACTTTCTTGATACTCTAATCTATTTCTATCATGTTTGTTACTATATTTAAAATTTTTTTGAAGCACTAATATATTTCCACTATGTATGTCCCGATGTATAATATTTTTTTGATGAATCCATTTAATGCCCATAACGAGACTTTTCAGAAAATTTACTTTTGACCCTTTACCTTTCCCCCAGTCCATCCATTTAACATCATCAAAATGCTTAGATAAATATTCGCGCAAACTTCCATGTTCAATATAAGGCATAACGAATATATAATTTTTTGTTTTTGGATCTTGTGATACTCCATAAGATTGAATAATATAACGATTAGAGTTAGGTTGAGTTAGAGCAATATTATTTAACTGTAAAGGAAATAAATAAAATATTTAATAATAATTATAAGTACTATATTAAGTAAAAAACTTCTACTTTACCTCCTTTATAAATGCCGAATTAATATTTTGAGAATCCTTAAGAAATTTTAATACAATTTTTTCTGAACCTGCTCGATTGAATCTTGTTCCAGAATAACCTGTGATTCTTCCTTTTACCCATAAAGCCGTAAATATTGTACTAAATCCACCTTCTGTAACTCGCTGGATATCTGTAAATTCTTCAAAGGGAATCCACTCTAACCTATTTTTAGGTTTATTTCCATGCTTTGATTTAATTAAATTATCAATATTAATATTTCCGCTATTAACTAATTGAAATTGTGCGGAATAACAATTAGTACATATGTCTCCGT